TCATTTTCCCATGATTTAGGAAATTGCATAAATATGCATCTATACTGTATTAGGAAATTTTCATGTTCATGGCCCACAGCATAAAAATCCAGCACTTCTTTTCTTCAGCTCTTTTGGACATGCAGCAGTAAAAATAATGATCAAGGAATTTGTCAGGGCTTTTATCATTTGAATACAATGAATGAGTCATTGAGAGAAGGAGACAAGCAAGGAATGTGTTACACACAATTTTACTGTAACCAGGACCAGAATTTGGCAAGACAATTTCAGTTCTAGATGAAAGTTACAACCCAAGGAAGGTAAGTTGATGGGTGCTCATTTTTTTCTGAATAATGAAATTCCAATTCTATGCACCATGGGGTTACACTTTTCCGCGCGGACTTTGAAATGATCTCAACACCAGGGATTTTTAAGAAACATTTTTCTCATGTTCAGTAATTCCAAAAGGCTAGGCAGACACCATCTCAACTTAATTGCCACCAATTTTTACACACTTCTCAGCACTTCTTGATTCATGTGTTGCAACAGGCCTTCAAATGTTCAGTTGCTAAATTTTGGAGCTCCCCCAGAACATAAGCAAAAAAAAAAAATGATCTGCGCGGAACCGTGTAACCCCTGGTAAGGAAGATCTGTAGATGGGTGCTGATATGTTTGTGTGAATAAAAAAATCGCATGGAAGGCATTGAATACTCACGCAGAGGAATGTGAGGAATGTCGGGAGTTTTCATGACATTTTTCGATACAAGGTAAAACACTGCTGCAGTTGTGCTTCTTTCTGTCAAATTTTGACATATTCCTGAATCACTGATGGACGAATGGTTCCTCTTTAACTCAAGGTAGGCCAGGTCTTGAAGGCCATAGTTTATCTTCATGATGTAAGCACTCATGATGCACCTTCAATAAAAAGGGGGAAAGAATTGTATTCAACAGTATGTATAATTTCAATACTTCACACAATTTGTTTCCAAAATCCAAAAATTTGCTCATACATTCAAATAGAATCTTCCAGATTATTCAATACAGTGAGACCCAAACCTGCAGACATAATTGGTGCATCAAGAGTGTCCCCAAGTCTAAGTCCCTAAGTAGAGACTCATATTCCTTAGACTTCAATGCTAATTCATTTCATTTGTTCTCCTTTTTGTCAAAAGATAGAAATAATATCTGCACAGCCATTCATTATGGGTATGACATGGGTGTTGCAACATGTACTCCATACATGCCTAGCTGCAAGAAGTTGTCCATATTCAAAAGAATCACCCATATACAGCCAGCCATGGAATACAGGTGTGATAAAGGTAATATCATGCCTGTTTTTAATGCCTGTCTGGAATATGCCTGATTATTTGCTGGGAAGTCTTATAAATTAATAAAATGGTTTCCCTCAACTTCAAGTTGTAGAAAACTACAATGCAGAACAACCACATAGAATCTGATCTTTGTCAGTTTTAAAAGGAGATCAAAAAGCAAAGAAAAATGACAGGCCTTGCTAGAATATGCACAGATAATGGGAAAAATGCTCTGAAAAAACAAGCACAAAATTGGCTTGCTTTTGTACACAAAAAAGAGTGAATTTATTTGAAATATTTATTTCAATTTTCATGAATATAAATAATTTAATTGTTTTGAAAGATGTCACAATTAAAAAAGAAAATTGTTTGATTTTTGGGGAAAATTTCAGAGAAGTGCCCCTAACTTGAGCAAATGTCCAGATGTTGGGCCTGATTTCTTTGGTTTTCAAATATGTCTCCAAGTCAAATTGTCTGGATTATTGGGGTCTCACTGTACATGAAAAATTTCCTTTTGAATTAAACATGAAAATCGTCCTTTTTAATTAAACATGAAAAATTTCCTTTTTAATTAAACATGAAAAATTTCTTTTTGAATTAAACAGACGCCTTATAGACCCTCTTAGTCAAACAATCTCAAATCCCCCCATTTTCTGCAATCCTAAGCTTTCCAATCANTCCTTTTTAATTAAACATGAAAAATTTCCTTTTTAATTAAACAAGAAAAATGTCTTTTTGAATTAAACAGACGCCTTATAGACCCTCTTAGTCAAACAATCTCAAATCCCCCCATTTTCTGCAATCCTAAGCTTTCCAATCACCAACCAACATAGGAGGGGTTACACGTTTCCGCGCGGACTTAAAATTATGGAACCCCAAGTATTTTTTCTAAAACGTTTTTCTCATTTTCAGTAATTCCAAAAAGGCTAGGCAGACACCTTCTTAGTGTGATTACTACCAATTTGTACACACTTAGTACTTTTTACCCATGTGTTGATGTAAGGCCTTGAAATGTTCAATTGTTGAATTTTGAGGCATTCCCCACCAGAAAAGCAGCAAAAAGCTGATCCGCGCGGAACCGTGCAACACCTTGTATATGCGTCGAAATCGCGAAGTTTGATGCATCAGTTAAAGTTTTTTAAAATTTCATGACTGTCCTATTTTTGTAGCAAAAAATGCGGTCATTTATGTCACATAATCCTCATGGTACATTATGATCATCATCATCATTTATTACGTTATCATCATCACGTTTTCTATTCTAATGGCTGTTAATCATACCACATCAAATTCAGGGAAAACGACCGAAGTAAAACGAAATTCGAAGAATAAAATCACACTTGTATCAATCTGCACGTTCTTCTCCAGGATTTCCAACTCATTTACTGCAGATCATGGAGGAATACCTCGGCCCCAAGCTCCGAGGGGTGTCTTTATTATTACTCAAACGAGTCAAACCTCGTGACAACCCAGCACTGAAAAGGGATGAGTCACCGTGAACCTTGGATTTTCCTTTTCCTCAGTCACTGAAACTCCCATTCGTCTTCTCCTTCTTCCGTATAAATGGGTGCACGATCCTGTTTTCCCCTCGGTCTAGGATAGTGACGCCAGGTAAATGACTGACTACTGTATAACGACGTACGTTCCCACTAAAGAAAATCCGGGTATAAACACACATTAATAGAAACATAAGCAGAGGAATAAACCCTCAGCTGTGTCGCCTTTTTTCGTCAAATCGCAGGTATAGTGTCAGAGAGAAACATTCAACAGGGGATTTCAAGAACAGTTCAATTCGACAGACATAATAAGAGTTTCACGCTCGAGAGGAAGAAAAAAGGGCTTCAAAAGTTAATATTGTACAACTGTAGAGAATGAAGGTAATAGCATGAAGAGAATTGAGTGAAAAATATGATCTTGCTTATTTGTTCACTCCACCAAACTGCCAGAAAGACCATATATTTACAAGGGTTCTAACAAAAGTTCTCAGAGTAGCAAAGAAAATGGCTTACGATTGAGCTGAAAAAATGTATTCTTTAGGGAAAACATATTCTTTGGCACACAAAGAAATATCAGCCTAGTTTGACTAATTTTTTTCATAATTCACCCTGGCAGATTTTTGCTCTCCACTCAAAAGATGAGGCGCCCTTTTTTGTTGTAGCCAAGCTTTTCCCTCAGAATTTTTTAAATCAACTTGGCATTCTTTCCAAGGGTTGCCTCCAGGTCTTCCAAGGCTATTCCGCCATTTTCATCAACAGCCGCCTTTGCAGCTGCCAAAGTGGCGGCTGTGAAGGCGGCTGTTGAAGAAAATGGCGGAATTGCCTTGGAATTTTTTTGAAATTTAAAAAAATTGTCAAACTGGGCTGATATTTCTTTGTGTGCCAAAGAATATGTTTTCCCTGAAGAATAATTTTTTTCAGCTAAATCGTAAGCTATTTTCTTTCCTACTCCCAGAACTTCTGTTAGAACCCTCTTATATAGGAGGGTTGGTTCATAAAAGATAATCAACAGCCACATGTCCTCAGATGCAATATTTACTTTTGCTCCTCAATCCTTCATCAGTCTCTAATACAATCAAACCTCTCAAAGTTGAATTTCAAGGGACTTGCAAAAAAATTTGACTTAAGGAGGTTTTGAATTGTATAGGTTAGAACTACAATACAGTCTTTTTTCTTGGAAAGCTAGAAAAAATGTTGATGATATTCTGGGGCTTAAATGTTCTTCAATGAGTTGAAAGGCTGCTGAACTTGTGGAGGCAGGGGTTCATTTGCCCAATTAAGTCTTTCACTTCCTTTAAAACACATAAATTTCTGTTTTTATTGCTTTTTTCCTTTTTCAAAAAAATAATGGACAACAGGCCAGAGAAAATTCAAATTATGGAGGTTTGTGGGGAAATGCTTTTGACCCAGGGAGGTTTTCAATCTATAAGGGGATTCAAATGGAGACCTTCAAAATTCGACTTTGGGGGTATTTCACTTAAGGAGGTTTGATTTATCAAGGTTCACCTGTACTGTAAATGTGTCATCCACTACTCAGCTACAGATAGAAACCAGAAGAAGAAGACCTCATAGTCAATGTTCTTCACTGAAGTTGTAAGGCACAGACGTCGATTGAACGCAAAACCCCTTGCCAGCCTTTCACACAAAACCTCGAACAGGGAATCCCATGTTGGAATTCCCCAGATTATGCAATCACATTCATCCCCCATTCTTGAATCCAATATTTCCACACAGTCTTGATATACCTCGCGCATTGCTCACATCAATTTGCAGTCATTTTTACCAGTACTTTTATGCTTTGTCATTTTAGAAATGCATCTGTTCCATCTTCGGAAGTCTTCCCAAAGATTTCCCTGCCATGTTTTCCAGCGGATTGAGTATCATCAGTTGTTCTTTCATTTTTCGTGATCATAATATTCGTTCTCTGTTTGGGCCCTGCTCACAAAAGTGAAATATAATTGATCAATAAATATTGTAGAGAATTCAAGTGCAAAGCTCCTCTTGATCCATTAAACTTCACTTCAGTGGAGACAAAGGAGCATTGACTGTGAGGTCTTTTACTTGTTTCCACCAGTACCTGATTAGTGGATGAAGCATTTATCAGACACCAGTGAAGGATTGAAGTTCAAGAGAAAAAATTGCATCTGCTTCCAATGACCGCATTTGGCTGTTCATCATTTTCACGAACCGAACCTCGTAGATGCATGTGTCCTATACGGAGAATCATTCGCCATATTAGTATGGTAATTCAGCGTAAGGTACTGATCTACTGTAATTTGAAATGAGAGGAGGAGGCAACTAATTCGATGTTTACGAAGAAGCGTTAGAGGCCTCTCACGACAGCCCATGCAAAAACGCGGGCTGACTAGTCTTATTCTTCCACAGGTGTCACTCTATTGCTTGGCGTGAACACGGGAACAACTGATTTTTTCCGCGATATAGCAGCGACATCTGGGTAAAGAAAAGGTTAGACTGGGAATAGAGCGCGCATCTTTCAACTGCTGATGACGTGGCCATCGTAAGGGAAGCGAGGCCATGAACAGCAACATTTCAAACGGAATTCGAACAAGCTTCACTTAGATTTCGTTTGAAATCTACGGAACAAAGCACATTTGATACAGTATACTACATCACCCTTTACAAAATTATACATTCAGTTTTCCTGTTCATGTGAACGTTTTTAACGCTTGACTATACAGTACTGTATGTACGGCTACGAAAAGTATCTGTTCTCTCCAAGTATACAGTGCTAATTCCGCGCATCATCTGATGTCGTACCTTAACGTTCGTCATAACATGCAGATATAATCTGAGGTAGGTACGGCAATTCGAATGAAGGATTTCAATTTCATTCTTCCCCGAATCAAGATTTTCATTCATGATGAAAATTTTCAATAATTACGCTGCGTACATCCTCACGGGAGCACGTGATTCGAAGCTTCAACTTTCCGGGGTTAAACTCTGAAAACTTTAAACCTTGGAAGAAATCTTAACTATTCCATCCAGGAGCTTTCGCATATGTTAGACATGATGTAAAAATTACGGTCACCGCTGAGCCAGTTTGCTGGGGACTGTACACCGCAAACCATCTCACACATATATGAGCTTCATCACCGAACATTGTTCAGATTTCTCCAACCGATGTGCAACTTTCAAGTCCTCGGCGATTCCTCATGATAAGGTTTCGAATGTCAACACACAACCAACTCTGAAAAATTGAAGGAAACCGGAATGCGCGATCAATGGAGGAAATTATCTCGTATGCAAAACCTCCGCACCAAAGCGTCAAATGTTAGTGAATGAATCCATTTGAATTCTCAGTGCCTTGATTAAGCATTTTTTTCTCGGTACAGAATCTTACTTCCACGATATACAGTACAAAGAAATGAGTCACTCGAGACGCGAAATCGATAAACTGAACAGCGAACCGGTACAGAATATAATTCAACGCATGAAAGAAAGAAAAACGAAACAATCGATGTTCCAAAAATAACATAATGCAACCATATTCTTCCCATGAATGCCTAGAACGGGAAAAGGGCAGGAACAAAAGAGAATACCGAAGACTCGTCAGTTCCTCTGCAGCACGGGACGTTTTTGAACCAGTCAGAGAAAAAGTTCGGAATGCGGGAAGAAAAGAATGTTGTATACCTCTCGAGCTCAAAGTTGTACGTGTGGAAGGTATAATTATGAGTGGACCGCTCAATAAGCAACGTCACTTGCTTCACAAAGAAATCATCCCCAGAGCCAGTCTTCGGTGATGATCCCTCAATATCAAACGGCAACCCCCAACACTTCTTCATTACTTCCATGTAGTAGGCCATTGAGTGTTTGACGGCACACTTCTCCTTGAGCACGAGTACAACATTTTTGAGTAGCTCGAAACTCGTCAAAGCTCGGAGAATTTCTTCCACGTCCTGCGCAAGGAACACAGCCGAGGAAAAGAAATACACAGAATAGAGACATGAGACAGACATAGAAGAGAGACAGAAAAGAGGAGAGAGACAGACAGGGATCAGAGAGGCACAGGTGAGAGGGTGTGACACAAGATGAGAGAGAGACAGAGGAGGGAGAGAGAAAGGCAGAGAGACAGAGTAGGGAGAGAGGCAGAGACGGGGGAGAGACAGAGAGTTGAGACAGACAGACAGAACTAGTAGTCAGAATCTGATCCCATGTTTAAATAAAAAGCAAGATTACTAATTTAAAGAAACAACAAACCTAGGAGCGAATGATTTCTTGCAAGAATAAAATTTAAAATCATAGCCCGAGTAATTTTTTACTTCTGTAAATATTTCAGGTCAGTAATGTCACCATTGTTTCTGCATTATAAACCGAAATGAAGTTCCATACCAAGTTTCCGGATGAGTCAATATTCTTACCTTCGGGAAGGACACATGTATCCACAAATCATCCAGCGAATTTTGACTCTCAGCAAAACTCTTCAGGGCGGATACCACACCGCTAACGCGGCCAGAAAATGCAGCGAATTCCAATTTCTGAGGCATTTTGCTGAAGCCATTATTCAGAATATCATCGTATGGTACGTGAACAACAAGTCCTCTCAGCTTGGAACACCAACGAAGTTCTTCGAAGACACACGCATCAGAGGATCCATCATCGACATCAGCATTACCCGCATTATGACGCAGAGAAGACAAAGCCACACATTCCAAGTTTTTCATTTTTGAGTAGGGAACGAACGTTTTCCCGAAACCGTAGTCAGAGATGTATTTCAGATTTTCCAGCCATTCCTTGGGGTAGTCATCGAAGGCTCGAATCAACTTCGGTTCAGCCATTCCGGATGCTTGTCCGTCACTGATACTAGCCTCTGCGTCGGGACCACACATAACGAAGAGTTTTTCCAATGACGGCATTTCCATTAAGCGCTGAACCGCTCTTCCGGGTTTCACATTTTGTAACCAGAGAGACTTCAACTACGGATCAATTCATCAATGAAAACCGGTTTAAAAAAGTTGTCATTGGATCACCTGATGGATGAAGTATCAAAGATCGGGGCAAAAAAATTTAGAATGCCAATTCTGATTACAATTAACAAAGATATACACTGGCCTCAAGGAACAGTCAATTCTACTCATTGGGGTTGGTCATTATTTTTTTTTTGAACCAGGAACAATTCAGTGAATATGAACGCGGGAGAAAAATTTTCTTGAATAAAGTTATCCGCTTTCTTTCGATGTCAAAATTACATTTAGAAACATGCTGAACAAAATCTCCGTGAAAAACGAAGTGTATAGAAAATGATTTACGTTTTCGTGGCAAAAAAAGAGAGAAAAAATACAGAAGCTCCGAGGTTAAACTTTCAAAATGACTCCACCTTTGGAAAAAGAACATCTGGCTCATAGAAAACCGGCATCTTCTCAAATATATCTTCACATAAGCTGAGGGACTCCAAGTTGGAAAATGTTCCCGATTTTTGAGCCAAGATCCAAGCTTTCTTATCCATTTTAACCGGAAGGTGTTCAGCATGAAGACTTCGAAGCACACCAGAGCCGAGGAAGGAAATAAATTCCGCCTGGGCACTTGGGTTATTACCAGGAAACGTCGTTGCGCGACCTCTCGGATTCCACTTATCAAAAATATACGATAAATGCAATCGCTTCAATCTGAAAAAAAAAATCTAAGCCGTGTTGGGAATTGGAAATACAGCAGTCATCAACGAAGACGGAATACCAGCCTTGGAAAAATACATGTGATGTCCATCGAATAATCTTGGTCCAAGTACGATGACGAAAGGGTGACTTGTTGACAGAAGTGAAGTACAAGATTTTCATTTTTGGCTAAACGAAGGAAGTTTTTGTCACGACAGTAAGGAATTGTCAAGGATTCCAACTTGGCGAACGCTTCGTTTTTGAGGCCTGCAATTAAAGAATGCTTCTCATCCCAGGAATAAATGTCGAGTGACATCAGGTTCTTCCAGCAACCGACAGATTTGATAAATGGACGGGTAATATCAGGTGGGTCATAGAATGTGTTCATATCTCGATCAAAGTCCATTGCAAGCCTCCGGGCGTTTCTGAAATAAATATGTACAGTAGCTCAACATTTGGATTTCCAAGGATCGAGATGCGTGGGTCACCCGAATAGGTTACTCAACAATCAGTGGAGGCGTAGGCCGTACTTATAAAGGGGTAATCCGATCCTCCTTTTTCTTTCCGATATTAAAGACATTACATTTCATTGAAGGTGAATATGTATGCATTCAACGAATATTGATACTTAATTTTTAATTTTTCTGGATATGTCCATGGAGAGTAAAAAAATTTCATTTTGAAGATTCTCAATTTTCCAATTTCTAAATTTTGTAAAAACCCAAACAAAACTGATGCTCTACATGGTCTACAACGAAGATCGCGAAAGACCATTACATACAGAAGTGGCAACTTTCATATTGGTCAAAAGAACGCATGTGACTCGATTTTTCCCCGTTTTCAAAATAAGGTTTTCGAATTCATTAAAAATATACAAATATTATATATTACAATCAATATACGAAGAATACATCCTGAAAGTTCGAAGCAATTTCAGCAACTACAGAGGGTGTAAAAATATGATTTGTGGACAATTTTGGATTTTGTGAAAACTCGTTCACGTCATACAAAACTTTTCAATTGGATCTATTGTACTGTCATCAATAATAAACATTCGGAAAATTCGACAGTTGAAAGAGGATTAAATTTTAATCGCGAACTTCCGTCACTCACCTCACACGTACCCTGAAGAAAAGTGAAATTAGGAGTCCAACAACTTCAGGAATTATGCATCGAAGTCCACGAAAAACAACTCACCCCGCAAAAACATTAAAGAAGCCATTCAGGTGTCCAAGAGGGGCAGAAGAAAGCACATGCCTGGGAAGCTCCAGGTTAGTCCAAATGCCTCCATTCCTCACAAGTTCGAAGAATGATCGACAAACCGGAACAAGGTTGTTCATAGTTTCCACGGGATTCAAATATTTGAGAATCGTTCTCTTTACCAAGCAAGGAAGTGAAAGCAGAGACGGAGTCTCGTGCTCCTGCACACAATGTCCACGAGGTCGCAAGAACATGACCCGCAAGCATGCTGCAATTAACAGATGCATATATACAGTACAGTGCTGTAAAATCTCGTTCCAAAAAACTTCAAACGATCTGATGAAAAATTGTCCCTATAACTCCGTTGTACCAAAAGTCATGCTCTTCAACACGTTTTAGAATGAAATTTCCTGGGAAATGGGTGATAAATACTGTAAATTGCTTATATCGAATAATTCAGAATATCTCATATTTTATAAGTCTTCAAGAGGAAAATTATTGAATGAACTGTACGCTGTATTACTTTTTCGTTGTGACGGGATTTCACTGTACAGTATTCTCATGCACCAAATTGAACTAATCATCAGCGAGCACCAACCAAAACTCAAAAGCATTTTCTCAATTTCATCAATACATTTCAACCATTTTCGTGGAAATTAATTCATACTTCGAGTGGAACCATTAAATTCTCAGTTGCCCAGGATAATTCGTGAATATCTTGATTCTTCTAGCGGAGATCGTAAGCGGCTCAGAATTGGCAGGAAACTTCAAGTTCAAAAGAGCATTAGTAATGTTGATTCGGATCACCGTTACACAAATTCTTGAATTACGCACACATTCTTAAAATTTAGCTCAATGGCCAGCATTAACTGATGATCAACGAACTCACGAATTCCACGATGGAAGCATTCAATGATGTCGCCGTGATCCAACTCCAAAGTGATTCCGCCTTCAAGGCTCTTCAATTCATGGTTAACGTGTAAGCTCATGTCGAAGTTGCGCAACTTTTTCCCGTGCATCACCAACCTGAAGTCTCCAGGCGTAATCGGTCTTATAGAAAAGATACTTTGCAAGTAATATTCTTCTTGACATCCCTCTCCGAGTTTCTGCTTTCCTCGCTTTTGATGAACATCTACAGGGAAATGGTTTCAAAATCCACACAACAAGAGACTTGGCACAAGAATACCCACGTATGCGAATGCGCCTCGAATTATTCGAAGTCAAACGTTTGTACGTATCCCAGTCCCCAGCAAGATAGGCATCCATTTCCTCTGAATCGAGTTCATCCATTTCCTTTGGTTTGAACAGAACGTAGAAAACAGTTGCCACTTGCTTCTCCTGCAGGAATTTCGCACAGCTACAAGTGGAGCACTGGCTTCCGAGATGCATGTAAGAAAGGCCACGAAGACCATAATTGAGCCTCACGAGATAAGCGCTCATTGTAATATGTCACAATAAGGTAAACGTTGCGCCGAGATGTTTCACTTAATTCTCTCAACAATCTGATGTTCTTTTTCCTGTAACTCTAAACTCCCCGAGAGAAATATTCGTCAGGAAAATCAGATTAGCGCATATCCAAATATAAGGCATCAACTTCAGGGGAGTCCCAGAAAAAAAAAAAAAAATTCACATGTTTCCGAAATAATCGCACTAGATTCAAGAACGATCTCATCAAGCATGCGTAGAAGGAAAAATCGAGCTTCCGCGCTTTGTACTCCTTTCTCAGACGAATGCAACCAGCAGTCTGACGTCGAAGGTGAAACAATAAATTATTTTCACGAAATCTACGAGATTCAACGAATGCGACAGGAAGCAAGCGATTGCGATCACCGAAAAGCTCATATCCCGACCCGACCACTCCAAACCGGTTGTTGCCTGAAAAAACCAGTTTACGCCCTGAACCGCAAAAAAGTTCTTTGAAAGCAACTTCAACGCAGCAACCGACGAACGCCTCGATCGTGGAAGACTCTCAATCTAATATTCCATCGGAGAAAAGCTCCATTTGACGAGTATTTTTCAGTAATGTAATAAAAGGGGTGGGTCATTCGAATCTCCGATTCCTCAAGCGTACAGAGAATCGATAACAGTTCCAAAAAAAATTAATCCAGGCATTTATTTCCAACCACGAAGTAAGGAACGCAACACGGCATACTATAATGGCAGGAACAATGTGCTCAAGAGAAGCGAATTCAAGATATTGTTGAATGTTTAAAAGTTAATTGCTTTGGGTCTTACCACAAGCACGGACAAATTCACCCAAGAATCAACTGAACGTACAGTAGAAAGAAAATGAACAGACGATCATACATAGAGTACTGTCATACACCAGCAGATATTGTTCCATACTCGACTGTTATAGGCGCGACACGGCGACAGTGAGTGCAGCTGGTCACTGCATCAAAGGAGCTCCGATAGAATAAGAGTTGAACAGGCTACTCGTGATCAGCAGTTCACTACTGTAAAACTTTGCAAGATGAAGGGAGCGGAAAACCCTTCGTTTCAAATTTACTTTACGCGTCTCTCCGTGACATAAGTGCGTGCGGGCAGCCACACATAATCCCTCGAGCTAATAGTCTGATGGAGCTAGTAGTCTGGGTCCCCCCAACTAGGATAGCTCCGAGGAACCTTCATATCAATAATTCTTTCGGATATCACGGCCACCTACATAAAAATCCGTTAGAATGGGAGACGGATGGACATCAGTTGAGAGGTGTAGAATTTAGATGAATACTGATTCACTCGATGTTCACCCGACCCCAAAAATTGAGAAAGACGAACAACTCGCATCTATGACTTGAGCACACCAAGCTGAAAAACAAACCACGCAACTACGAAGGTCGAAAAAATTGGCGATCGCGATGATTGCCTCTGACGATCGCATTTCCATGGGTAGAATAATTCCTTCCAGAATTCATTCGTTTCAAAGCACTCGACGGCGCTTCTCTTGACTTCGACAACTTAACTGAAATACTGAATACAAGCACCATACACAATGTGGTTTGTATGTCCAGTACAGTATAGAATACCCACTAGCACTGAAATGTCCTTCGTATATAACTCAGAACCTGTCGATTTCTTGCGGCAGCTGCATTTACGCATTCCTGTACACAGTACAGAACAGAACAGCACAGCACCGCATCACGCATAAGCGCTTCTCGGATCTTCATCTCACCCGCCCAGCGCGCAGTAAGCTAGTAAAGCGCGTACTAGCTTACTTGTTGTGTTGGCAATGCCAACAACTCGCCATCTTGTGTTTAGCGAATCGTCCCTTCCAAACAATTGTCCGCGGTGGACAGCCTCAAGAATGGTGTACTACCCAATTTACTACTGTACCGTGTGTTACTGTACTCAAATTATGCATTCACACAATTCTGACCTGCCCAACCCGTTATCCACGAAAGACACGAACCTTTGAGCTCCGAAAACGTCACATAATAAAAAGAAATAAACTATTGTATTGTGAAAAAATAAGCAGAGATAAAAGCAGAGATTATTTTTTAAAAAAAGCGTACGGAACACACAAACTAGATTTTAAGAACTTGGTCTGTAGACCCAGGTGACGACTCAGAAAACCTTTACGGGCCAGAATTCAGTTCGATAGGCCTTGTGTTTCACAGCAGCCAGCGTCTCATTTAATTAAAAAGTCATTTTGGGAATGGGAGGATAATGATATATGCTGATGAATTTAGCATAGAAATCGGTTCGCTTATTTTAGCCCATGACATAAACTTCTTGGCCCATTTAACAGCCTCCTTGTTGAAGGCCATTCAATATTTTAAAGAAGACTGATTATCGCCAAAAGATTTTCATTATATACTGTACTGTACTTCCAGCATATATACTCTTCTCAGTGTAAGAATTGCAGCAAGTACTGTAATTTTTTCAAGCATCAAAACTGAGAAATAGAGTTTTAGAAATTGTAAGAGTGAAAAAAGCTTAATTCTTTCCAGATGGCCTGACACTGGCTTTCCAGTGCAGTAGCAGATTGTCTCCCACTGGATTGGCTACAATGCCAGCAATGTAGGAATAACTTGCACAACTCCATGTTGACTCCATTCAATGCCATTATTCCTCACTTTGGAAATACTGTACTAAGATTCATTGACACTAAATTTCATCGAAAATTTGAAGAAAAAAATTTTTCAAAAAGAAATGAACAGTGAAAACCAGGGCTGTAGGAAATAATTTCTGGGTTTAACATTATGGTTCATTTCTATACATGAAGGTTCATGATGGTCGAGAAATCCGAGTGAGCCGTGTTCCAAACCTTCAATTAATTTTTCTTCAACCCTGTTGTTCCGAGCTCAAGTCCTATAACAGGAGGGTGGCAAATGCACGTATGCAAAATCCAAGCCAGTTCAGTTTTTTTCAGAAAGACATTTGATTTACTGCAACGGGAGGGAGACTATAATGGCGAAATTGCCATCTATCATTCATTACACTGAAAGAGAAGGGTCGTGGGCATTTGATGAGAAAACAAAATTCTAGGAAACATCTTCCGTCTCCTGGAAAACTGATGATTTTTTAGGTTTTCAGGGGAAAATCTCCTTATTCAAGGTTCATCCCAAAATTTGTTGGCTTTCTTTTTTTGTCTTACTTGAGTAATTTATTACAAACTACGGAAACAAAACATGCCTCTAGGACTAGCAAAATTATCAGGAATTGGGGAAAATGAATCATAACTCAAACACTTAGCATATGACATTTTCTTAACAAAAAATTAACAAATTACAGTAAGTTCCGCATTTTCACTTCTGAGTTCATCTGCAAATGAAAACTTAGACATTTGTAGACAGAACAGAAAAAGCTGCATAAACGAGTGCAGCACAATAAAAACTCGCAGATTTTCAAGGTAAAATTAATACCAGAAAAAAAACATTCACTTTCACACCTTTAAGAAATAAATTTGTGTACAACAAAAATGTGACAACGAAAATAATCAGCAAAAGTGATATTTGCCACGCCGGGACCCCTTGTTCAGTACGAAAAGGAAAATTCACTACTTTTCTACCCAAAAATACCCATAGATTTATTTTTCAAAATTTAATTGTATAGCCCCTTCATAAAATATTTGTCCAGTACGAAAAAAAGTTAAGCCCAAAATATTCGTCGATGAAATCGGAAATAGGTTTTGTTTCGTTTTGTAAATACTGTACTCAACAGCAATAGCACTTGGGTTCTTCGTTGTGGATGATGTGTTCGACCTCCGATCGGGTTATTTCCAATATTGTAAATCCATCGTATTGACAGGCGTCAACATTGAACAATCCCATCAATTAAAAAAAAAGTCATTTTAAAAATAAAAAACGGGCATTTTAAAAAGAAAATAAAGCGCTTTGAAAAGTAAAATGAAGCTATCAGAAAAAAGTCATTCGAAAAATAAAATACAACCATTTTAAAAAGAAAATAAAACACTTTGAAAAATAAATGTAACAATTGAAAAACATCAAAAAGTGAATTGAAAAATAAATAGCCACTCTGAATATAAAATAAATCACTTAAAAAAATATATGCTGCACTAGTTATTTTAATAAGCTCGTCGCTTCATCTTAGAACCCCGAAATCGTTATTCAACTATATCACAGAGCCGCTGGGTGTTTTTCAGCTTGGGCGCTTGTTGCCAGGTGTCGCTGCAGTAGCGGTATTATTGTTGACAGGTGCAATATGGAGCTGGGCTTGCTGGCCCGGGCCAGCAGTGGCGCAGACCGACAGACAGGTAGACTGCTGGGTTGCCGGGCCCGTGCTGATCCTGGGTGACGCAGCAGTGGGTGGGGTGTGAGACATGGATGCCCTGGGGGCCTCGTGAATGCTCTTCTGCTGCAACCCGCAAACCCCCGTGGGGCAGGTAGAGCACAGCACTGGCTTGTTGACGGGCTTCACCTGGATCTGACGCACCTCGCAAGACCCAGTCGTCTAAAATTTGCATCACAACAGGGGTTGACAGTGAAAAAAAAACTATCCATGTTGGATTTCTTAATTGTCCTGTCAGCAGGTTATTGATGAGTTTTTTTCCTTTCCTTCATAGGAATATAGGCATAGGCAGCTGATCGAACTGAGAAACACATCATACAGAATATATAAAAAACTTATTGAACCATTCATGCAAATTACATCAAATGGAACAATTCCGTTTCCAAGGTTTGATTCTCAGACAACTCAGCAAAACATTTTGAATTTTAGCACAAAAATTTCTGAAATTTTTAGCATACAATTTTCCCAAATTTTTAGCATACAATTTTCCCAAATTTTCAGCATACAATTTTCCCAAATTTTCAGCATAAAATTTTCCCAAATTTTTAGCATACAATTTTCCCAAATTTTTAGCATAAAATTTTCCCAAATTTTTAGCATACAATTTTCCCAAATTTTTAGTACACAATTTTCCAATATTTTGACATTAACTTGTGAGCTGAAAATACTGCATTAATGTAAGTAATATCCTGGCAAGCTTATGAACTCCAGGAGATATTTTATGTTGCAAGGTACCCAGGGTCTTTCCCCATATTAAAATACAGTCTAACCTTTTCAATCAAACATCAAACAATTGACTCAGGAATATTTTAATTTTGGGGGGTTATGTGTCAAAAAATAATGTCAATCAGGCCACAGAAAATTCAACTAATGGAGGTTTGAGGCAAGAAGCCTTTGACTTAGGGAGGTGTTCAATGCATTGTTTCTATAAGGACCTGAAAAAAATTTGAACTGAGGGAATATTTGACTTCGGGAGGTTTGAGTTATCAATAAGGTTCACCTGTATAGTATGAGGGGGAAAGCCTTTGATGAGTTAGGAGGTCTCTATATACAGTACTCATCAGCAGGGAATTCAGGCAGGGGCTTCAATATTTAAAAAATGGATATGGTGACATATTCCACTCAAGGAGGTATTCGAATATTGTCGGGATTTGGCTCATACACTACATATCCAGTAAAGTAGAGTACAGGACAGTACAGTACCTCCTTCGGCGCAGCAATGGTGAGAACCCCGTCGCAGGAAATGGTGGACGTGATGGACTCGGGCTTGACCCCCTTGGGCAGCAAGTACCTCCGCACAAAGTGTCGCGCCACGTACCCATGCTCATCCTCCTTCTCCTCGTGCTTCCCCTCAATCACGATGTAATTATCGATGGTCTTCACCACGATCTCATTGGGACAGAATTGCTGCACGTCCAACATGATTTGAAACTTGCTGCGCTCGTTGGCCACTGCAGACACGCCACTGCGGAACCGGGACCAACAGTCGAGCTGTTGTTGCGACGAAGGCGTGTAATACGGACTAATGGCACCGATGGGTGGTGGGGGTGCTGGTCGGACCCAGTTGCCAGCATGCATGTCGTTGATGAAACGAAGGTTCACTGGGTTCACCTCGGACGGGTACATGCCGATCCCGAAGGCCTGGGTTGCTACAGCAGCTGAGCCGTCGTGCCAGTCGCGAATGAAGGGCACGTACGTGTAAGGGTCCATGTTGTTTATCTTGCCTGCAATGGATAATCTGCTATCAAATACAGTGAAATCTTGATACAGTGTGAACTCCCAAAGGGATCTATGACTGAAAATTTGTTCAAGATAAATTCGATATATTCAGTTCCATCATTTTAGGAACATTTCAAATTTATTTTATAGGAAATGGATCAAAAATACTGTGAAGTCCTTCCAAAACAGGCAATTCAAGAATTTTCAAATTTTATAAGTAATTTTATGCAGAAATGAAAAATTTTTTAGGAATATAGTTACCTTCCTTTAATTAAACCTGCCATACATTTGGGAGAAATGCTTTGCTTTCTTCTGAAGATTATTCATTAATGTTTGCTCTTCACACATTCACAATACTTCTCTTGAAAGAAAGGGATACACCCTGAAATTGAGCTGAAAAATTCCCATCAAAGAATGCCATGCTGCATTTTCTTAAATACTGTATTATTGTTTCTCTTCAGATGGTTTTTTGTTCTTTAAAGACATTGGAATGCAGCTCATCCATTTCTAAGCTTTCCATTTTCAGACATTCATCAAATAATCCTGTGGTCTATGCATGGAATCAGGGACTTAAATTTATTATATACAGTACTGAGATTACAGCAAAAAAAGTTTGTTAGAATGAATCTTTTTTTCTATGGCGCCTAATGGAAAACTGTCAAGGCCAATGTGCAAATAATTCGTTATAATCAAAATTTCATCAGAACAAGATTTGTTATAAGCTATTCACAACAAAATAATTGGGAACTGGACAACTTCCTCTATTTTTCTGAGGTATATCCTTTACCACAGCACTAATGTATCTGACGTGACTGATTTTAGCCTTAGAATTTGAATGAAAGTGTATCTGAGATGCATATACCCCCACTTTTAAATCCATGGATAATCGAAAATCATTTCTCATCTCTTTTAAACAACAAAATGCGTCATGATGGGATTTTGATGGAACTTACTGAATGAATATTGCACCTCTTATCGTTCAATTCATGGATTCGCGATGACCGTTCCGAAATTGGCTCCGGTGGATCAGGAAACGTCCCAACTAGCTGAATAATAATATAAAAAAATATACTATTATAATATAAGGGCATAAATAAACGGGAGACTAATGAACGCTGATGGACTTCTGCCAAAGGGAAGAAATGTTCCCTTTAAAATAGCGATATTCCTGTGGTTCGTAAAATCCAAGGGTTAGCCTCGGACCTTCATTCGGATATGATTACTCCGTTTGGTCTTGTACAGTTCTCGTAAAATACTCTTGACTGATCATTCATTTCATCTGATCATTCACCTAAGTAGTTGCTTTCCGTGTAGCCATTGGGGCAATATTGTGGAAGCAGATTCTTTTCGAGATACGGTATTAGAATTATCGAAAAAGAGGGTCAGATCGAGAATTTCCAAAACTTCGATATTCGCTTTCAAGTTTGTTATCCGAAACAATCAGAAAAACTTTCAAGCCGATGATAATTTGATGGTATGAAATATACATTCAAATTTGGAATAGCGCAGGGAAATTCCGCCACAACGGAATCTATTTATCGAGGAAGCTTTAGATATAAAATATAAATTTTGAAGGTCCCAGCAAGCAGATTTACGCTATACAGACAGAATGCTTCACGAATATTTTTTTTAATCGGAGAAGCTTCGTTGCTCCCTATATTCGACAATTTCTACAGCAGCATTATTTCGGGAAACTTCAATATTCTGCTTGTAAGTGTTACGTAGCACTAAAAAAAAATCGGCTTTGGACCAATTCATCTCAGAATTCCAAACACGCCTTGCATTCTAATTGCAGTCTCGTCATAATGAATTTGCTTAGGGCCCCGGGGAAGTTTTTTGCGAGGAAATGTCACCTGTAACACGACTCCACCCGTTTTTCTTTTCTTTTGTCCAGATGGCGGAAAAGCACTGTAGTAACTGCAATAAAAGCCATCTGTTACCAATCC